GTTCTAGAAACGTGTGACTGCTTCGCCTCGGATTTGAATGTTCATTGATTTGGAGCGTAATATCATGCTTTCTAGCTAAATTGGATAATTTTGATCCACGCAGTTATTTCTGCAAAACAAATAAAGATTTGGATATGGAAGATTCGTGGTACCCCGGTGGACCGTCGTATGCGTTGTATTGTCAATCTTCATTGAAGAGAGATCCTAAATTTTGCGACGCGGCTGAGCTGATATGCAGATCTACCTGTCAACTGAAATGCCCCCCGAAGTAAAAACCTGCTTAACTGTCACAGGTCACCAGAAAAATTTATGGTTATAGAAAAATCAGGAAGATCAGGAAGACCGTTTGGACGAGTGTTGGCAAATGAAATTATATTAAATTTAAATTTATTATGTCATGTTTTTATTGCAAATAAATCTCGAACCTTTCCTGGAGCCATCAATCCAGAAAGAATTGCCTCTGTGATAATGCTGGACAAACTTCAGGGTAAGGCAATTCGAGTTGTCATCGCTGCTAAGTGAATCCTTCTCAGGGTCGATAGATGACAATTACAATAACTTGGGAATGTGATGAGGAATCCAGGGAGACACTCACTAGCAGACTTTTTTTCAAATCTATATGAAAAATGGCCAAGGGATAGATGGTAAAGCACATTAATCGATTTTACGGAAAAAATAGTATTTTAGCGCCTTGGAAACCACCTTGAGCTTCTCCATTTGTGGGCAAAATGGTACCAAGGACCAGTAAATCATTTTTCGTCGTCATCCGAAAGGCAAAGCGATAGCGGGAAGGGGAGATTACTGTATTAAATCGATGTTCTCTCTTTTAAAACCAGTATCCAAATCGCATGTAATATAGCAAATATTAAAGGGGTTGTCCATAGTTGTTTGAATGATTCACGGTCCGGGGCACCAAATGCGGCAGATGGTAAGACAGTTCAATGCCAATATGTTTCGCTACAAAAACCGCTTCATCATCAGGGCTGATCTAAGCACAGCTGACTGCTTGAAGGCATTTATGTTCAACACGCGATCAATGCCAAGTTTTCAATTCGCTCATCCATACAGTCAAAATGTTGGTACATTGACTGCCAAAGTACGATTCTATTGCCATCATGAAAGCAGGGGCGCCATCACAGAACTGACACGCAGAACCGGGTCAAAATGACGAAGATCCGATTCAGTTTGATGTAAACATTAACATTAA